CCTAGCCAGTATCTGCGGATTGAGCTTCCAGGCCCACCCCAGTGTCAGACCAGATCCCACAGTCCCAGGCTCCACGCTGGCCCAGCAGATTCTGTCTCTGGCCACCCCCTCCCCCACCAGCCCAGCCCCCACAGATTCAGGCTCCAGACCCCAGAGTGAGGTCTGCCTCAGGGGTCCCAGGCTCCAGACTGCCCCCAGCACCTAGCTGACCCCCACAGCCCTGGGCTTCAGGCTCACCCCAGCACTAGGCCGGCCCCACATTCTTGGTTGTCAGGCCAGCACCAAACCTACAAGTCGGCCCCTGTGCATACAGGCTCCACGCCTACTGGCATAAAAACAGGCACAGATCAATGGAACACAATAGAGAGCCCTGAAATAAACCCATGTGTTTATGTTCAATTGATTTTTGACAAAGGTGCAAAGAATGCACAATAGGGAAGGGACAGTCTCTTCAATACATGGTGTCGGGACACCTGGAGATCCACATGCAGAATGAAATTAGACTCAGCTTATACCATATATGAAAATCAACACAAACTGGATTAAAGACTTAAATGTAAGACCTGAAACTATAAAGCTACTAGGAGAAAAATAGAAATAAGCTTTGCGACATTGGTCTCAGCAACGATTGTTTGGCTATGACCCCAACAAGCAAACAAGCAAAGCAAAAATAAATAGCAGCAAAAGCAACAAAAGCAAAAATAAACAATAGGATTACATCAAACGAAAAAGCTTCTGCACAGCAAAGGAAACAACAGAGTAAAGAGACAACCTATGGAATGGGAGAAAATATTTGCAAGCCACACATCTGATGAGGGGCAAATATCCAAAATATACAAGAAACTCAAACAACTCAATAACAGGAAAACATATAACCCACTTTAAAAATGGGCAAAGGTAAACAGATATCCATTGCTAAAGTAAAGATTAAATAGTTTTATGACAAACATGACTGTAATAGGAATATAGTGTAGGTTGTACTGGTTAACTCACACCCCAGTTTTCTTATAATGATGCAAATTATTGAATACTGTACACTCTTAATATATGTGCTTTTATTTATATAGTAAACATGTTTCCATGTCATTTTGAGAATTATTTTAATAAACATTCAAATAGCTTGCTGTAAAGTTTTATATCATACAAAGTCTGTTACATATATGGTATGAGATGCTTCAGTTCAAATAACAGTGCAATAATTCACCTATATCTAAGAGACTGCCAAATGATTAAACATCAGGTATTGCACTTCTATTTCAAGTGGGAGCTTACACATTTTAAATTACATCAAGAGGAAATCGATGCTATGAGTATTGTAATTTGGTCCACTTCAAACGTAATTTCAAAGACTGTGCTCATTTGATCTATTTAAGCAACCAGAAAAAAGGTAACAAAAAAAGTAGTCAAGTTATATGTTTATTTCCGGAAAAGGTATTTACCCTGGAAGAGAGTAGAATTTACTAATGTAGTTTAAAGTCTGTGCAATTAAAAAATTAAAAATTGATTTGTGATTATTTCTTTAAGTAAAATATACAGATCAAGTTCACTTATAATCTTATGGCATTACTAAACTGAACAAACAAAATATTTTTCAGAGGAAAAAAACTGTGCAAAGGACCTGAACAGACGTTTCTCAAAAGAAGACATACAAATGGCCAACAGTTATATGAAAAAATTCTTGACACAAGGAGAAATCACTTCACACCTGTGAAAATGGCTTTTATCAAAAAGGTGAAGGGTAACTAGTATTGCTGAGGACATGGAGAAAACGGAACCCTGTTACACAGTTAGTGGGAATGTAAATTAGGACAACCGTTTAGAAAGCAGTATGGAGTTCCTCAGAAATCTAATACTAGAGCTACCATACGATCCAGGAATCCCACTTCTGGGTATATATCCAAAGCAACTAAAATCAGTATGTCAAAGAGATTTCTTCACTCCCATGTTCATTACAACATTATTCACAACAGCCAAGATATGGAAGCGATTTAAGAGCCCATCAATGGATGAATGGATAAAGAAAATATGGTATATATACACAATGGAGTACTATTCAGCCTTGAAAAAGAAGGAAATTCTGTCGTTTGCAACAACATGGATGAAACTAGAGGACATTATGGTAAGTTAAATAAGACAGGCACAGAAGGAAAAATTATTGCATGATCTTGTATATGTAGAATCTAAAAAAGTTGAACTCATAGAAGCAGAAAGCAGCCTGATGGTTCCCAGGGACAGAGGGGGTGGGGGTTGGGTGTGGGGAAGATGGTCAAAGGATACAAAATTCCAGTTATAAAGAAAGAATAACTTGAAGAGATCTATTTTGCAACATAGTGACTGTTTTAATAATAATGCATTGTATTCTTAAAAATTGCTAAGAGAGTAGGTTTTAAGTGTTCTCACCACAAAAATATAAGTATGTGAGGTTATGCATATGTTAATTAGCTCAATTTAGCCACTTCAAAATGTATACATATTTCAAAATATCAGTTGTATAGGATAAGTATATACAATTTTTGTATAAGTATATATAATTTTTTGTCAATTTAAATAAATAAACAAATAATTTGAAAATAATACAGGACTTGGATGCCAAAAATCTACAAAACACTGACGGAAAAAGTCAAAGAAGATCTAACTAAGTGGAGAGGCATACAGTGTCCGTGGATTTGAAGACTCAATATAATAAAGATGTCAATTCTCCCCAAATCAATATACAGATTTAACTCAATTCCTATTGATATCTCCAGAAAATTTTTTGTAGATATAAACAAGAGTATTCTAAAATATATATGGAAAGTCAATTGAAGTAGAAGAGCTCATATAATTTCAAAAAAGAAGAAAGTAGGAGAAATCACTCTACCCAGTTTCGGATTTATTATATGGCTATGGTAATCAAGACTGTGCAGGACTGACAAAGGAATAGACACACAGATCAATGGAACACAGTAGAGAAGCCAGACACGGCCACATGCAAGTACAAGCAACTGATTTTTGACAAAGGTGCAAGAACAATTCATTAACTCAAAATGGATCATAGATTTAAATGTAAAATGTAAGACTATAAAACTTTTATAAGCAACCATAGGAGAAAATCACTGGGACCTAAGGCTAGGCAAAGAGTTCCTACACTTGTTAAAAAAAAAATTCTAATTGGGAGGCCATTAGACTGGGTGGCTGTGGCACTTGAAATTCCTACGTGAACAAACCAAAGCCCATTGTAAACAGTAAATTGGAACTAGAAGTTGTACCAATCCGAAACCACCAACTAACCTCTAGCTAGGGACTTTCCACTCTAACCCATCAAAATTTTCTTTGTCTTTCTTCTGCAGACACTTCATTAAAGTTTCCCTTTTTGCCCCTCCTGGGGGAGTGTTAGCAATCTGGTGCTGCCCTGATTCATGAATCACTGAATGAATGCTCAGATAAACTCTTTAAGATTTAAATGTGCTTAAGTTTTTCTTTTTATCACACTTGACACCAAAAGCATGATCCAGAAAAGGGAAAACTGACAAATTGGACTTCATCAAAATTCAAAACTTTTGCTGTGCAAAAGAGTCTCTTAAGAGGGTGAAAGACAAGTTACCACCTGGGAAAAAATATTGGCATGCCACATATCCAACAAAGGACTAGGACCTAAGATAAGTAAAGAAGTCTCAAAACTCAACAATAAAAAGCAAACACAACAAGACATTTGCAAAGGAAGATATACAGATGGCTAATAAGCACATGCTTAAACATCAGAGAACTGCCTTCACCCTGGTTTTTCCCACCAATGTTTAGCAAAACTCTCAGTTCTGAGGCCATCCCTCCCCTTCTCCCCTCCTTTTTCCCTCTCCCTCCCGCATCTTCCTATGCGCTCTCTCATATTCTCCAACTGTGCCCCATCCCCCGCCCACACCCCCTGCAGGAAGTCAGACAACCTGCCTTGCCTGATTTGGTCCTCATAGGCTCTCTCTATTCCCAAATAAGCACTGCCATCTACTCCATGCTGTGGACCTTGATCCTGGGGCAGTTAAGTCCTACTAAGTCAGGCCAGCCACCGAGAAGTGAGGCAGGGTGGTAAAGGCTTCCCTTTAGCTACCTTTAGCTAAATAAAGTAAATAAGATAAATAAATAATAAATAAGGTAAATAAATAATAAATAAAGTAAATAAGTAAAAAGTTTCCCTTTAGCTAAATAACATCCCTTAGGGGCTTTCAGGCCTAAGGAAGAGGATGGACACAGCTGGGCACAGGCACAGGGCTCTTCCTGGTGCTCCCCCCATGGCATCACAGAGGCCACCAGATTCTTTCCCTTCTCTTATTCTCAGATCAGCAGGAGAAAATGGACTAGCCTGAGTTTTTCTATTCTCTAAGCAGCAAAAAGTCTTCGCCTTTCAAATCAGTGTTAAATGTGCAACTCAATGGCCGGCAAACTAACCTCTAGTTAGTTCACAGCCAAATATGGTAAAAGTGGGTGAGGTATGGCTGGTTAAGGATCAGGACAAATTATCCAGTGTGGAGGGAGAAAAAAACTGGCGTGTGTGTGTGTGTGTGTGTGTGTGCGCGCGCGCGTAATCCATAAGGGCAGATGTACCCAGAATTAAAACAGTAGCGGGTGGAGACCTCCAGGAGCCTTTGAAACTCCCAGGTGGAATCCAGGTCGGACACACATCCTGCATGGACCTTTTCCTGCCCAGCCGGGATATCCTGTGTTTGTTGAAAGGACCACACAGGGAAGCCCTGACCATTGTCCTTCCCAAAATCTGCCAGTGAGCCCCTCCCCAGCCTGAAGCAGCCACCCCAGGCAGAGGAAGAGTAACTCTGGAAGCACGTTATCAGCATCCTCCCTGGACTTCCTCACCTCCTGCCCAGCCTCATTAGCCCCGAGCTCCTCAGCATCCTCAAAGAGAAACCTGGGAGGCTGGGATATGGTGAGCGCCCTGAAGCCAGCCCCCTCTGACAGCGTCCTCTCGACCAAGCCCTGCCTCTGTGCCGCCCTGAGTGGGCAGCTGCAGGCTGCAGCCGCAGCCCAGAGCCCGAGATGGAGCCCCAGCTGGGGCCCGAGGTAGCTGCCCTCCGCCCAGGCTGGCCGGCCCTGCTGCTGCTGTTGGTCTCAGCCCTGAGCTGTTCTTTCTCTTCGCTGGCTTCACCGCCTCCTTCTCTGGTGCCCCAAGTCCGAACCAGCTACAATTTTGGAAGGACTTTCCTCGGTCTTGATAAATGCAATGCCTGCATCGGGACATCTATTTGCAAGAAATTCTTTAAAGAAGAAATAAGGTCAGAACCTCAATCAAATAACTAGGAGGGGCAAAATTCTGTTCCTTTATGTGAAGATGTCCAGGAGTTTGTTGAAAATGAATTGGGGGCCGGCCCCGTGGCTCACTTGGGAGAGTGCGGTGTTGTTAACACCAAGGCCCCGGGTTCGGATCCCATATAGGGATGGCCGGTTGGCTCGCTGGCTGAGCATGGTGTTGACAACACCAAGTCAAGGGTTAAGATCCCCTTACCGGTCATCCTTTAAAAAAAAAAAGAAAATGAATTGGGATGTAATATATGGGTGGGAGCTGAAACAATGCCATTTAATCAGGGTGGTATGGTTTGAATTTGGGGTGGGTAGGAAGGCAAAGTGTGACCCAAATTCCAGCCCTAAATGCTAAATCCAAAGTTTCCTTGGCTTGAAGTCTTCTTTTCTATGAATGGAGTAGCCTGGGACTGCTGAGTTTACCAAGTTCATTTCTCATAGCTGGAGGGAAATAAAATTTATAGAAACCTACTGTGACAGACATTTTAAACCATCTTGGAAGTTAGTGATTTGCACTCATTATTCAGATGGTGAACTGAGGCAGAGCAAGATTAAATGACTTACTCACAGCCAGCACCTAAGAAGTGGCAGATGTGGAATTCAAACCAGGACAGTTTGTTCCAAAGTTTCTGAGCCACTTTTCTGTTGTGAGATGTTGCCTTGATCAGAGGAAAACCAGAATTTGGTAAATTGCAATGCACATAGCTCTCACCAAACAACAGTGTCACACTCTAGAGTCCACTCATGTGCCTTTACCATGGCCAGGACCCATCAGGCGCTATGGTGACAGCCACTGTAACTCTGCATTGACCTCTAGGGGGTCAGGAGGAGGAAGCTGTGTTACAAATAATAATAATAAGACTTGGTCGACGCAGGCCAGTGTAAAGCACCTCCAGGAGCTCCAGGAAGGGACGTTAAATCCAAATGGAGACTGGGAAGGGCTTTTCCAGGGGGAGGTATTGTGAGCATGGCCTTAAAGGATGAGCTGAAATTTAGCAGGAGGGAAAGGGCTTAAGGCAGAAGAAGCAGCTTAAACAAAGGCCCAGAGATGTGGGAAGAGGTGAGAGATGCTTAGTGGCTTGAGCACAGAGTGTATGTGGAAGGGTGGCAGAGGAGGAGGATGGAAAGACATATGGGGCAGGGGGTCTTGAATGCCATGCCAACGAATTGGGACCTTAGTCTGTGGGCCAGTGGTTTCAGCCTTTTCAGTACCAAAGACCCTTTGTCATATGTTCCTTCTCCTCTGCTCTCCTCCAAAGACCTACCTCTTGCTTGTAAGATTTGGTGACCAAACAAAAGGCATTAATTAACAGTGATTTTATTTCTAATCCACATTAACCCAAGACATATTTGATTATTCAACTAAATTACTAAACAGAAATAATAAATAGAACATACCAGTGAAAAATGTGAAACTTCTTTTGTGAGACTGTAGATATTTTATGGTGTTGATGTGAAGTTTTCCTATTAAGCTTTTTTTAAAGGCATTTTTGAATGTTGAAAAGTTGAAAGACTGCCAGTTGGGGAAGCTCTCTTGCAGGCAATGGTGAGGGTAAGCTGGGGAGGGGCAAGATGAGACCCATGTTTTGGGAAGATCTCATGGAAAGCAGGGTGCAGGATGGACTGGGGGTGTTGGCAGGAGCTGTGAGGCCAGATCTCATAGTCCCGGAGAGAGGTCATCGGGAACAAAATAGGGCAGGAAGCATCCAATTCTGTTCAGCTATAGAGTCATTTTGGTGACCAACTTGATGTGAGAGGAAATCAAGCTGGAGATGTTGAACTTGAACTCAAAGTTTCCCACCTAGGAAATAGGATGAAGAAGACCAACAACACAGGCAAAGTGCTGCTGATTCCTCAGAGAAAGAAGGCAATATGGACATATTTTCAGATATTTTAAGATAAGAGGGAAAGAAATAAAGAAATTCAACTGAGGAAGAGCTTTAAGTTCACATCCTCCTTTTTCACCAAGTGCAGTAAATGAAGTTTTTACCATCAGGCAGGTACTGGCCAAATTCAGAAAGCATTTCCCTAAATAGGTTTGTGCTCCACTGGAGTTCAGGATATTACTTCACCTCTCTTACAATGCATTTTCCATGTGCGCCAGAAAGGGAAGTGTGCAGATACAAGCAGGAAAACACCCAGGAGGGCAGATTTGGGTTTACAGCTCCCCACATTGAGAATGCTCATTCTCAGCATGGAGGCAGAGAGAGGGAGTGAGTGGGTCTGGGGACATGCACTTTTTATAGTCCTTTTCTACACATTATAAAGAACTTTTTTCTTATTGTGAAAGTAGTGCCTATTTATTTTAGAATTTTCAGGAAATACTGATTAAGAAAAGCACAATTCTTCCACCAAGAGATCACTCCTTTGTGAGCATTTTGTTGTATATCCTTGCCATCCTTTTTCTAAGTATGGATTAAGAAATTTTTTCAACAAAAATGTATCATACTATATATACTCTTTTGAAACTTTATTTAACAATCTATTAGAAACACCTTTCCACATTATTAAATATCCTTCACAATTTGATTTTTAATGGCTTTATGGTATTTGATTGCCTCAACCAACCATAATTTAACTAATCCACCATTTTTTTCACTTTATGATAAATAATGCTTTGTTAAACATGCCTGCAGCTAGATTTTGTGCACATCAGTGATTATTTCCTTATGACAAACTCCTAAAAATGGAATTTTTGGTTCAGAAAATATGGCAAATTTTTAGATTATATATATATATCCAAACGGAGATGTCTACCTATAGAGCTGACTTCTTGTACACTCACACATATTTAATACTATATTTTTAGTTTGCATTTCCTCTGACTTAAGCCTTTTGGGGGGGATTTATTGGCCATTTATATTCCTTCTTTGCTAAATTGTCTGCAAGTTCACATCCTTCACCTCTCTTTCTAATGTTGTATTTGTTCATCTGGTTCGGCCCTGGACCCCACTAAGGACCGGACAGTGCTAGAATTCATTCAGCAACGAACAATGGATGGGCTTCCCAATCTGGCTGGGTATGCTGAAGACATGATTGGCAGGTGAAGGTCACCTTTCCTTCTTTCCCTTATCTTTTCTTTGGTGACAATGCTATTGATGAATCAGATGTTTCTCATACTCAACCATTGACCTTTGAAAATTTGAATGTTTTCAGAAGCAGTTTTCCCATACATGCCATGATGACTTTTAAATCCTGAATGAAAAAGTTAAGGGAAGCTAGGAAAATGAGTAAGCTTGATTGGTACACTGTTCCTACTAAAAATATGCCTGTATCTGAAATTTTAAGTGGTCACACCAACTGGTAGGATCTACCAAGATCCAGTGGATCAGAATTGTTTATGTGGAGGTGGGAGGAGAGGGGTATTTAGAGGCAGTGTTTCTGATCTGAATCATTCCTAGGGGGTCTTGGGGTCTTACCAGGGTAAGATGCTTTACCTCACCTTGATGCTTTACCTCGCCTTCCTTACTGTAAGTATTTGGGCTTACATTCCCCCTACTCTCAAAGTCACAAAGAATGTTTAAACACTTGCAACTGAGCAGTGGAGTCTCACAGTGAAATAAGTAAGTCATTAGGCGTGATCTTGCCTTCCCTTCTCCCTTGCCTCTTCTCTGTCACCTTCACCTCAAAAGATGATAATAATTATTGCCTTATCTCACTTCCTTGTATCAACTGAGAGACCTTGGGTGCTGTAGGGCCCAGGGGCTTATGAAAAAATTGTCCATCTACACATTCAGTCATCCGTACATGCACCCATGCATCCAGGCATCCCTCTGTGCATTCTTCCACCCAGCCGTCATTCTGAGCATCCCACAGCTCAGCCCTCCATATATCTGTCTACTCACTTATCCATCTGTACATCCAAGTACCCATCCATCCATTCATCCATCCGACTATAAGGTATTGAGCACTAAATTGGTATGGAGCAGTTTGCTGCGCATTGAGTTACAAAGCTAAAAGAATCCTTGCCCTGAAGGAGTTTCATTTCTGTTGGGAAGACAGAGAAGTCTATCAATAGTTAAAGCACAGTATAAGGAATATACAAAATGTTCTTCACAGGGTGTCACGGCAGCATGTGGAAAGGAACCTATCCCAACTGGGGGATGAAAGAGTGAAGATCAGAAGGGATGGTACCTGTCTGAGTTTTAAAGGGTTGGGTAGGGATTATCCAGACATGATAAAGGAAGAACATGTCTCAGACAAAAGGATTAGCCCACGACAGGTGAGTAGAGGCTCAGAGGCCCAAAAGAATGTGGCTTATCCAAGGATAGCCAGTGGTTTGGTGAGACCAAAGCCAGCTTGTAAGGGGAGCAGCAGGCGATGGGCCCAGAAAGACCATTGTGAACTGCACCAGCTTTGTGAAGATGCTGGATGGTACAGACCTGGGAGATGGAGAAGAGGGAAGACAGGCAAGAAGCATTTAGGAAGGCTGTCTACAGACTTAATGTTTGACTGGCTGGAAGCATGAGCCTTTCATTCTAATTCCAGTGCTCTCCCTGTCCCCTACACCCCCACCCTACTCTCCATGTTGAGGGGCCTGGGGGGATGGGACCACAGGGCCTGATGCTTCCTTCCAGCTCTGAGAAACTATGATCCTGCTTCTCCATCTTTCAACACAATGAGGAACTGGCCAGCCTCTCTCTTTAATCATGCCCATGAGCCCAGTTCAAAAGGAAAACTAGAAAGGTGCCTCTGTTTTGTGGTTTTCCACATTCCAAAATGTTAACATTTAGTGAATAAAAAGCAGGGCTCATTTTCTCCCTGACATTCTTCTATTTAGTAAAATAGGTAGTCAACATTATTACAATATACACTTTTCCCATTCGATGCCATTAATGTCTTACCGTTTTGGATGGGGGAGAAGTGAGGCCTGTGAACCTGTTTATTTGTCTCAATTAGTCCTGGAATGCCCCAAGCCATCGCTGAACCTGCGCAGGCCTTCATCACATGTCACCTACCAATCAGTGCTGTTGTCTCAGCAGAGCTTCCTCAGGAGGTGGGGACAGAAAAAAAGGACAATCAACCTTGTCCCACAGGACAGGAAGTGTCTCCCCGTGCCATTCCCACCAATTAGGAGAACAGGAGCCCTGAGATCTGCCCTCTTCCACCATTAATTGTCTGCGATTCTTCAAACAAGTTACATGTATGTTCTGCCTGCAATTTTCTCATCCTCAAAACAAGATGGAGAAGGGGGCAGGGACAAAATAATCTTGAAGGATCCCACCAGCTATAACCACTAATAATGTTATCAATCTGCTCCCATGAGCTTAGCAACGGCAAAGTGGTGAAGAGCACACACTCCAGAGCCTTGAATGCCACCTCCTCCAATTTCTGGCCGTGTGACCTTGGGCAAATGATGTAACTGCTCCACGCCTCGGTTCCCTCATCTGTATGGTTAATAATAGTATCAACACCATAGGCTTATTGGAAGGATGAAATGAATTAATACACATAAAGTGCTTAGCAAAGCGACGGGCACGTTTAAGTGTTTCCTACCATGTGTGTTACTATTATTATCTGAAAGAGCCACCTAGTTGTAAATCCTTAATCCTGGGTCTTCTGAAGGGATGAATCTGCATGAGCAAGAGCTACAGGAAACAGGCAGAAAGGCCTGCCTCTGGGCCCTGCGCCCTTCCTTATCCTCCCAGAGGGGAGGATCATTTCCCAAGGTTGTACTGATACTTCCAGTAAAACTGACTCATTGCACATGTACAGTGCTTTGTCTTTTTGGGTATATTCATGGCAATGTTCTGGAACAGAACCCTTTGTGCCTACTTCTGTTGCAATTTGCCTTGTCCTGCATTACAGAAATTGCTTACTGGCAGTTTCTTGTTGGAGCACCTTCCCAAATGTGAGCGGCACAGAGCTCTAGAGCAGCCCTCGGGGGTTCAGACGCCTGGGCTATCCGGCTTCCTGGACGACTTTCTTGATCTCTTTGCCTTTGTATGTTTTTGTGTGGTTTTCTTTGCCAACAAAGCAGTAGGAAAAGCTGTGGTCTCTCAGAGTAAATGTGTGTCATATCAGTGACACAAACAAAACAATATGGGCTTTGGGGGCTAATTCTTTATTCAAAACTCATTATCATGGGATTGCTAAATAATTCCCAATAAAAAGAATTTAAAGATTTTTATTTAAATTAAATATATAATATATTTTACGTAGCCTGATTTTCATTTGCAGTATACCCCTCAATTATTAATAATAATGAAGGGGCTGGCCAGATAGCTCAGTTGGTTAGAGCAGTGTTATAACACCAAGGTCAAAGGTTCAGATCTGTATATGGGTGAGCTGCCAAAAAAAAAAAAAATGATGATAATAATGAAGGTAAACATTTTGTGAGTAATTTTTCATACCTAAATCAAAAGGAGATTTAATATTCTTCCCTAATGGAAATGTCAGCACACAGCTGGAGAAATGACTAAAGAAAAAGAGCAAATGTGGGACCTAGGAAGTGGGCAGATGATAATAGGTCAGTGCCTCTCCCCTGTGGAATTATACACCTCCCAGAGCCCAGATAGCTTCAATTTTGGTGACCATTTAGCAGCCAGTGTCACCTGAGACTTGGTTGGTGCTAATGTCTTAGATCTTTTGACTAAAAGCAAAACTAATGAGGCTCCTCGGGGTTGGATATGGAGGGGCAATGGTCCCCCAGTGCAGGCCCAAGAGCCTTTTCAAGCACCGTGGTTCTAAGACCAGCCATTGGTCAGAGGGTGGGCGGTTACAGGGACCGGCGTAGGGAAGGGGAAAAATAGCGGTGTTTGCTGACAGAGAGCCCGGGTTTGCACTCCTGCCTGGCAGCACATTGGGCAGGGTACATACTTTTTAAAAGCCTCAGTGTCCACACCTGTAAACTGGGGATGGGCTATTAGGAGAATCGTAAGTGTGGGCATGTGCAAAGCTGCTATCGTTACGTGGAACAGAAGTTCTGAAAGCCATGGCTAGTCCTTCTGCGCCAGCTGTGTGAAGGGGATAAAGTTTGTCTGACTCGTGCTTCCCTCACCTTTTCTGACATCACATATACACTTCCCTAAGTCTGAGAAAACAAAAATAGTCCTCTCACAAAAAGGGTTTGGAGCACCCCAGTCTAAGGAGGAGAAATGGATTAGATGGGCTGTTGTCCCCTGTCACCCTGTCCCTCAGCTCTGCCGGCCTCCAGCTCACAGGCCAATCCTAAAAGGGCTATTCTTCCGACAGGTTTGACAACTGGCTGGCTTCCCACCTCGAGCCTCCTCCTGAGTACCTGCCTTCTTATCCTGCAAATTATTCAGATGATTCCAAATCCTGGCGCCCTGTGGAGATCTTTAGGCTGGTCAGCAAATACCAAGATGAGATCTCGGACAGGAGAATCTGTGCTTCTGCATCAGCCCCGAAGACCTGCAGCATCGAGCGTGTCCTGCGGAAAACAGGGAGGTTCCAGAAATGGCTGCAGGCCAAGCGCCTCACACCAGGCCTGGTGCAGGTGAGTGTGTGGGCCCCCGGGAGTGGGAGGGCAGAGGGGAGCAGGGACAGAGGGAGGGACAGACCCATTCCCATCTCACATTTCAGTCTGAAGAAAAGGAGAAATCATAGTCTGTCTAAAGTGCAACAAAACGCTGTCATAAAACAGTGGCTTATGACAAGACAGGAACTGATCAAAGTTTACTTTTAATGATTTGTCCCATTGTCATCCTCCACTCTCTGATGTGAATCTCAGCAACTATTTGAGAAAGAGTTCCTAGCTGCCACCTCTGGTCTGAAGACCTGACAGGATGCCCCTCACCAACCCACTGCCCTGACAGGGCTTAAATCACCTACAACCACCTCCTGGCAGCCTTGGCCAACCCTCAAGCTAGGTGAGTGCCATCTCTCAGAAGCTCCCACATGCGTCCTCTTTCACATTACAGAGAGCCCACTTGGAAAATCAGCTTCCTCTTCCATGTCCGACTGCAAAGTAGAACCAAAGCTCAGTCATGACAGAAGCAGACTCTGATAATACAGTGCCCCTTCTTGCCCAAGAGCTCTCCCCTCCATTGCTACGAGTCTGCTGCCCTGGGAACTTCAGCACATTGCTGGTGCCATCATATCCTACACTGGTTCCCTCCTGTGCTGTTGTCTCAAGTGTCACCCTTCTTCATTCAAACCAGCATGGCCGTGGACCTCCATGCACATCCAGCTGAGCCTGTTGGGGCAGAAGGTGCCACCTCAGAGGATTGAGGAATGGCTTGCCTTCATCACAGATGGGAAAGAAGAGGCTCACGCCAGCCTGCTTGCCATGAAAAGGCTAGAGGACTGGAATTGACCTTCTCATAGGGATGCTAAGGCTTCTTCTCATACTCCCTGGACCACCAGCTCCTTCACATGGGCACCTAAGGCTGCCCAGATATGTTCTGAGCACTAAAAATCCCTCCCTTGGCCTCTTCAAGAAGGGGGACATAGAACAGAGAGATGTCTCATCCGTGTAACAAGATCATCTCCCTTTGCTCTTAGGTTGTGTGCTGTGATGATTAATTTTATGTGTCAACTTGATTGGGCCACAGGATGCCCAGATATTTGGTCAAACATTATGCTGAGTGTTTCTGTGATGGCGTTTAGGGAAGAGATTAACATTGGAATAGGCACACTGAGTAAAGCAGATGGCCCTCCCTAATGTGGGTGGGCTTCATCCAATCTGCTGGAGGCCTGAATAGAACAAAAAGGCTGACCCTTCCCCACATAAGAGGGAACTCTTCCTGTCTTACTGACTGCATTTGAGCCAGGACATTGGTGTTTTCCTGCCTTCAGACTCAAACTGAAACATCAGCTCTTCCTGGGTCTTAGGTCTACTAGCCTTTGGACTGGAACTACACCACCAGCTCTTCTGGGTCTCCAACTTGCTGACTAAAGATCTTAGGAAGTAGCCTCTATAATTTCATGAGCCAATTCCTTATAACATATATAAGGGGTCCTCAAAATTTTGCAGAAAGATAGAATTAAATGGGCCGGCCCGGTGGCGCACTGCTACAGTGCGCCGCTTGGGAGCGCGGCGGCGCTCCCGCCGAGGGTTCGGATCCCACATACAGACCGGTTCCCGCTCACTGGCTGAGCGAGGTGTGGGAGCAACACCAAGGGTTGCAATCCCGTTGCTGGTCCGGGTCTGGTACGGGTGCGACACTGAGGGTTGCGATCCGTTGCCAGACACGAAAAAAGACAAAAAAAAAAAAAAAAGATAGAATTAAAAGAAAATATGAATCTTTCCATGAACTTTTTGAAGACCCCTCATACACACACACACACACACACACACACACACATCATTGTTCTGTTTCTCTAGAGAACCCTGGATAATACATGTGGAAACTGCTTTGAAATCAGGAGGAGTCAAGTTGCTGGTAATATGGCTATCACCTGACATTGAATAAAACTGAGCTTTCCAATGTGGTGCTTTTGAAGTCTATGCTCTGAATTTACCGGCATTGAGGAAACAAACCAGAGGAAGTCAAGCTGTTCCCAGGTTGGGGAAGTGGTGGCAAGATCCAACATAAGGATCTTGGAGTTGGTGCAGGAGACAAGAAGTGGAGGCTCAGGTAGAAGAATTCCATGGGGGCTGCTCAACATAGGGCAGAAGACAGAGGACAGACACCAAAGCCTACACCATGGTCAATGCTTTAGGTGTAATCCCCCTATTAGACAGACCCTTCATGCACTGGCCTAGGTGCCCACCATATGCCATTCACAGGCTGGCACAACTAGTACTGAGGCATGGGAAAGACCAATATGAGACCTCCTCTGCTTTGCCTCAAATATGTGCTCAGGAGCAAATAGAAGTCGCCAGGAAGAGCAAAACAAGGTAGACAAGGAATTGTTTCAGAATCCCTAAAAAATCCCACCACCTCTTCCTGCCCCCATCGTTGTCAAGTCTCACACTGAAGAACACCCTTCCCCCAAGGCAAGACGACCTCCACTGAGACCTGGACAGCACACCAAAGGAAGGAAGGTCCTGGTGCACAAGACACACTTTTTGAGATCCTACATAAGGTGGCTAGACTGACCTTAGGCTTTGAACTAAGGAAAACTCTCTTTCCCTTGCCTTCTAGACACTTTCATAATAACAATACAGCGGGGATTATCCCAGGGGGCTTGGCAAATCCAAAGCAACCTGCCAAGTACATCTAGTGTCACCTACCTTAATGAGTGCAGACATTGGGGCAACGGGAAAAATTCTCCGTGGTCTGGAAACTGTGGTTAAGTCCTGGATCTGTCACTAAAAGCAGTGGCAGAGAGAGAAAGAGCAGAGACCCAGGAAGAACTAAGAGCTTCCACTTCCTGTTCATCCATTCAACAAGTTTCAACAATTGTGCTACATCCTGGGAATTCAAAGATGAACCCAATGCAAGCCCCACCCCCCCAGGATCATATGGCTCAATAGTGGAGACAGACAAGAGCACAAATCACCACAAAGCAAATTAACTGATGCTATGATGACGTTATGTACGGGACAAGGGACAGACTACTGACTTGGGTCCTTCACCCAATGACAAGTTGACCTTGGATTCAAGCCCAGGACTCCGGCATTCTGCTCTGACATTCCTCCTCCAATAATGGGGTGGGAAGAGGGCTTCTGGATGATCTTAAAGATCCTCCCAAATCTGACATTCTTTGACTTGATCTGACTCTGCTTCATTTATTTAACAAATACTGATCGAATGCCTACTATCACCAGGCACTGTGCTGGGCACCTTGATTTTCCTGTTTCTCAAATGACAGCAAATGGTACCTGCTCTGCCTGATTCATTCATTCTAATGAGTTTACAGTTATGAAGAGACTTTAGAAAAAGTTCATTGCTATAGAAATGCACAGCAGCCTTCTTTTAACAAGTGGGTCCCTTCCTTTAATTTGTTGTGCTAAAATTTGCTCTTCCAATTTTGTCATCCTGTGTTAAACGTGGCTAAACAAGCTTTCCTTTTTTCTACCAAAACAGCATCCATTAACAATACCATCTTAAGACACAGCCAAAACCATAACAATTTTCACTTTACTTTGGCCCTCCCTTAACCCATCTCTTTATCCCCACCAGAGATTTTTCCCTCCCTTATTAAAAACAGAAAAATATCAGCATCCATTTTATAAATTCTGGACAAACCTCATTCTTCTTCTATCCACCAAGTTCAAGGTCATCGCCATCCTATTTTGACACCATCTTCTCTCTCTCCTGCCCTACTTCCCAGACCTTTGCCCTTAGAGCTCCATAGCATGCCCAAGGTGCTCAGCCACACTGATTCCTACTCCCAGGCCTCATCCAGGCAGCACTCAAACTTTGCTCTTTTCTTCTTAGCAAAACTCACCTATCAGACAGTTTCAAATGGATCTGTCTTTACCAAAGGTGGCAAAAAAAAAAAAAAAAATCCACCCTCACTTATCCACCCAAGAGAATTGAAAACAAGTGTTCATACAAAAACTTGTACATGAATGCTCATAACAGCATTATTCATAATAGCCAAAAGGTGGAAACAACCCAGATGTCCATCAACTGATAAATGGATAAACAAAACGTGCTATATCCATACAATGTAATATTATTCAGCCATAAAAAGGAATGAGGTACTGATACATGCTACAGTGTGGATGAACCTTGATAACAATATGCTCAATGAAAGAAGCCAGATACAAAAAGCTACATATTGCATGTGATTTATTAAGAAATACCAAGAATAAGCAAACCCCTAGAGACAAAAAAATCAGATAAGTCGTTGCCAGGTGCTGAGAAAAGAGGAGAATTGGGAGTGACTACTTCGTGGGTGCAGGGTTGCTTCTGGAAGTGATGAAAAGGTTCTGGAATTAGATAGTTGTGGTGATTGCACAACCTTGTGAATGTTCTAAAAGCCACTGAATTGCACACTTTAAAATGGTTAAAATGGTGAATTTTATGTTATGTGAATTTTACCTCAATTTAAAAAAAAAAGGAAAAATAAGCCTTTAAAAAATCACCTATTTTGTGACTTTATTCTCTTAGAACCTTGTGGTGGGCAGCTAATCTAATAATGTAATTTATGCCAATATGTTAACAGCTAGCATTTCACTGTTAGTCCTCTAAGAAACCATTTGCATGTAAAGCCAATACCGCAATAGTCCCACTAACCCATCCATGACTATCTCAGACCTTCCTATACATCCCGCTAAACCCAGATGTGGCCCCAGAATCCTCCTCAGTAGTGTTCTAAACAAGCAGCCTCTGCCTTTGATTTCAGCAGCAAGAAGAGATGAAATCTCTGAGTGACCATTCATCCCAGATTTGGCTGAACAGCTCTGCCCTACTTTTCTGATAACCCGTCAGACATGAGACCTAATTTCTTGTTTAGAAATCATTATCTTTCTATAATTATGGTATTTTCAGGAGCCAATTGGGGAGCTATTATAGGATGGATGGTAGGGAGATTTGCCTCATCCTTCAACTCATACCAAACTGCCCAATGCCAGCTCAGCCTACCAATCAGCCCAGTCCC